CGTGACCCAACCATCTCAGTCGATGAAAATTCATCACATCAACTGATTTACCATCATTCCCTAATACCCTGCGTCTAACCTCACTATTACTTTCCCGGTGATCCCAGCAGATGCGAGCAATATTTCTAAGGTATCTGTGGTCAAATATTAGTAACTTACGAGTATCTTCTACTCTTAATGGCCATGTTTCGCAGCCGTAAAGTAGAACAGAACGAACTGCCGCGCAGTATACTCGTCCCTTAATTGATAGACGGATATCTCGTCTTCGCCATAGGTGACGTAAGTTGGCAAAAGCCAAACGAGCTTTTTGAATCGGTGGAGAGATTTCGTCAGTCACCAACCCATTAGGGCTGATCAGACTTCCAAGATAAGTGAAGTTGTCGACGCGTTCGACTACTTCACTCCCTATCCTTAGTTCAGGTGTTGACGCAGGCCAGTCCTGGAGTAACAATTTACATTTGGATGGGGAGAAACGCATCCCAAACATCCTGGCATTATTACTCAGTTCTAACAGAAGACTCTGCATTTTGCCAGCGTCTTCACCAAACAGGACTATGTCATCTGCGTATTCTAAGTCGATAAGTGAACCTCCTGGTAGAAGATCAATTCCTGAAAATTCAGTCGACGAGAGTGTTATTTCCAGCAACAGGTCTATAATGAAGTTAAACAAAAATGGGCATGTCTTTTAGCAGGTCGTTGTATTTCGACTCTTTTAGATTCCAAATAATTACACTAGGGACTTGTTTAATCAGTCAGTCAGTCAGCTACAACGTAGGACCAGGCACATATATGCATCGGTCCAAGTTGCCATACCTCGTTAGCACAACAAGATGAACACCGAATTCATAGAAGTAGTTAATTTAATGGTGTTAATATAGAAAAGAAAAGTTGTATATAAAGATATAGTATAGGAAGGAAGACATATGAGACAATTTTAATCTCAAGGTTTAAGGGAAGATAAAGAGTGTATACACCTGCGCCATTGTGATCGATTCTGAGTCATGTCACACAGAGTCTCCAACCATCGGTCACGATAGTCACGCGGATAACAACCAGGTAGTCTGCATCTACCAACATGGCTTAGGCTAGAAGTTAGTGACTTCAAGCACTGATGCCATGTTTTGGTTTGGCCGCCCCTAACTCTCTTCCAACCATCCCCTACACTAGTCAACATTGCGCGTCGTGGTAACCGATGTTCAGGCATACGTAACACGTGACCCAACCATCTCAGTCGATGAAAATTCATCACATCAACTGATTTACCATCATTCCCTAATACCCTGCGTCTAACCTCACTATTACTTTCCCGGTGATCCCAGCAGATGCGAGCAATATTTCTAAGGTATCTGTGGTCAAATATTAGTAACTTACGAGTATCTTCTACTCTTAATGGCCATGTTTCGCAGCCGTAAAGTAGAACAGAACGAACTGCCGCGCAGTATACTCGTCCCTTAATTGATAGACGGATATCTCGTCTTCGCCATAGGTGACGTAAGTTGGCAAAAGCCAAACGAGCTTTTTGAATCGGTGGAGAGATTTCGTCAGTCACCAACCCATTAGGGCTGATCAGACTTCCAAGATAAGTGAAGTTGTCGACGCGTTCGACTACTTCACTCCCTATCCTTAGTTCAGGTGTTGACGCAGGCCAGTCCTGGAGTAACAATTTACATTTGGATGGGGAGAAACGCATCCCAAACATCCTGGCATTATTACTCAGTTCTAACAGAAGACTCTGCATTTTGCCAGCGTCTTCACCAAACAGGACTATGTCATCTGCGTATTCTAAGTCGATAAGTGAACCTCCTGGTAGAAGATCAATTCCTGAAAATTCAGTCGACGAGAGTGTTATTTCCAGCAACAGGTCTATAATGAAGTTAAACAAAAATGGGCATGTCTTTTAGCAGGTCGTTGTATTTCGACTCTTTTAGATTCCAAATAATTACACTAGGGACTTGTTTAATCAGTCAGTCAGTCAGCTACAACGTAGGACCAGGCACATATATGCATCGGTCCAAGTTGCCATACCTCGTTAGCACAACAAGATGAACACCGAATTCATAGAAGTAGTTAATTTAATGGTGTTAATATAGAAAAGAAAAGTTGTATATAAAGATATAGTATAGGAAGGAAGACATATGAGACAATTTTAATCTCAAAGTTTAAGGGAAGATAAAGAGTGTATACACCTGCGCCATTGTGATCGATTCTGAGTCATGTCACACAGAGTCTCCAACCATCGGTCACGATAGTCACGCGGATAACAACCAGGTAGTCTGCATCTACCAACATGGCTTAGGCTAGAAGTTAGTGACTTCAAGCACTGATGCCATGTTTTGGTTTGGCCGCCCCTAACTCTCTTCCAACCATCCCCTACACTAGTCAACATTGCGCGTCGTGGTAACCGATGTTCAGGCATACGTAACACGTGACCCAACCATCTCAGTCGATGAAAATTCATCACATCAACTGATTTACCATCATTCCCTAATACCCTGCGTCTAACCTCACTATTACTTTCCCGGTGATCCCAGCAGATGCGAGCAATATTTCTAAGGTATCTGTGGTCAAATATTAGTAACTTACGAGTATCTTCTACTCTTAATGGCCATGTTTCGCAGCCGTAAAGTAGAACAGAACGAACTGCCGCGCAGTATACTCGTCCCTTAATTGATAGACGGATATCTCGTCTTCGCCATAGGTGACGTAAGTTGGCAAAAGCCAAACGAGCTTTTTGAATCGGTGGAGAGATTTCGTCAGTCACCAACCCATTAGGGCTGATCAGGCTTCCAAGATAAGTGAAGTTGTCGACGCGTTCGACTACTTCACTCCCTATCCTTAGTTCAGGTGTTGACGCAGGCCAGTCCTGGAGTAACAATTTACATTTGGATGGGGAGAAACGCATCCCAAACATCCTGGCATTATTACTCAGTTCTAACAGAAGACTCTGCATTTTGCCAGCGTCTTCACCAAACAGGACTATGTCATCTGCGTATTCTAAGTCGATAAGTGAACCTCCTGGTAGAAGATCAATTCCTGAAAATTCAGTCGACGAGAGTGTTATTTCCAGCAACAGGTCTATAATGAAGTTAAACAAAAATGGGCATGTCTTTTAGCAGGTCGTTGTATTTCGACTCTTTTAGATTCCAAATAATTACACTAGGGACTTGTTTAATCAGTCAGTCAGTCAGCTACAACGTAGGACCAGGCACATATATGCATCGGTCCAAGTTGCCATACCTCGTTAGCACAACAAGATGAACACCGAATTCATAGAAGTAGTTAATTTAATGGTGTTAATATAGAAAAGAAAAGTTGTATATAAAGATATAGTATAGGAAGGAAGACATATGAGACAATTTTAATCTCAAGGTTTAAGGGAAGATAAAGAGTGTATACACCTGCGCCATTGTGATCGATTCTGAGTCATGTCACACAGATTCTCCAACCATCGGTCACGATAGTCACGCGGATAACAACCAGGTAGTCTGCATCTACCAACATGGCTTAGGCTAGAAGTTAGTGACTTCAAGCACTGATGCCATGTTTTGGTTTGGCCGACAGAGCTACATATTTTCTTACTTTCGGATTTTAGCGGAGTAACCTGATACGCAGGACGTGAGTACAACAAGGACTTTGTAACTATACGAGCGCTTTCTTTAGATATCTTTCCTTCTCTTTTACTTTAACGCGTTATCCATTTCCCAACATCCTCAGCATCCTGATTACACCTACTCGGGACGATAGTCGCTCTAGCCAGATCACCAGTCACTGCTAAAGCAACTTGTCCATCGACAACTAAATGTGTCTTTCATTAATTGTTTCGGGGTAGAAAGCTCTGTTTCTTGTTGCATCACTGGGTATCTGGCACATGCCGTGGCAGCATTTACGACACTGACACAATCTTCGTTATCAGTTTCCATGTTACCGGTACGGCCCTCGTCAACCTTATTGTTAGCTAATGCCAGAAGACTAATTGCTTCTTGAATGAGTAACGTCTTTCTTGAACAACAAAATACACAGAGCCAACGAGAATTAGGCTTCGAGCACCTTTTATAGGCAGTGGGACTTAAGCGGGTGCACATTTTGTGGAACCACTCCTTACATTCATCACACTGCATTCGTTCTTCCACAGGGAATAGACAATATGGCTGTCCACACTTGCGTGCAGAGCAGACCATCTTAAAAGTGAACGAAAATGGTAGACACAATGGATATGTAAGACAAATCTCAACTTTGATCAAATAAATCAAGCCAAAGTCGACCAAGAATGCTTTGATGAAGTAAATACACAAAAGCAAGATCAAAACACGCAAAAACAATATCACGTTAACTTAAATAAATTCAATTTAAGTGTAAACAGTAGATTTGATGCTTAATTTACAATCAAAACAGTGAATTAATCCAACGAGAAACAATACCAGTCTTTTAAATAGTGTCCAAGAAAAATTTATATTTCGAACTGTAACTAATTAATTTCGTGCTTAAATAACAACCCTCGTATCGTTCTTCATACATAATCTTTCCCCATTATGAACAGACATAATACTGTCTTGATAATTTTATAACTAACTGGAAATCAGCATATGAGCTGCACAAATGTATGCTAAATAGGTTTAACAATAAATCAAAACATCAAGTCGACAAGATGAGAAATGACTTGAAACGAACAAATGAGACTAAGTAGTAAAAATTATGGATTGATAACATCCAGTGACCGAAAACAGTTGAAGTGATTCTTAGGAGAATTAGATGAGAGAAGTCATAAGCTGATGATTCCTATGCAGTACAAAAAAAAAACAAGAAAACAGCGCGAAACTAGGATAATATAACTATGGGCGGTAAGATAATTATTATATGCATTTAGCTACGGGGTTTAAACACCGTAATTGCCGCGCCATATATACGGATACGATTCATATCTTATACTATTGCAATAAGTAATACACAGCTCACAAAGGCTTTTGTACATCTGAACATTTCCTTGCACTTCAAAAACTTACAAATAAAGTATTTTGTGGTCGAACGCTACCACAATCTCCACAACCACTTGCCATTTCAGTCTCCCCACGTATGGTTTAACGAAAACCGCGCCAATAAGCTTTGGAATATGTGGAACCCACTATTTGACAGGTAAAAGGAGTAAATAGGTCGACGACTTATTAACCTGGAAAGATCCACCGTCTGATATATTCGTGAGCCGAATTTATAAAAATACATTTCAGAGCTCGGCTAAATATAGCATGTTGTGTATTTTACGATTGGATTTAAAGTTAAAAGTCAACTTAGTTAAAAATAGTAAATGATTGTTGAAATCACAAATTTAAGTGATTGGTATGTGTGTTTTACATTTCATATGTTTGACTGGACTACGATACATACAAGGTTTAGTTAAATGTTTTCAAAAAATATACAATGGTTTTGCTTCGGTAAATAGATCCCCAAAACAAATAGTTATGTAACTTTTTGACATTTGATGTGAACCACATTAGTTTTACTGAACACATCTCAACTGAAGGTGCTTGGTCATGCGTCCGCACCAGATCACGAGTGGGTACACCGTGCTGGACATCTTTTACGACCTCTAGCCAGTTTAGATAGATCACTTCTCGATATATTGAAATTCCGTCAAATATATCTTCGGACTTCTTCGCTTCTGACATATAATTTCATTGGTGTAGCACGTGTCGATTATACAACGTGTTACTGGTTAAGGTGTTGTCAAACTCCAAATCCTTGTGCAATCTTTAAGTTTTTTAGAAACAAGCCTGATGTGTTTTAAAGGAAATTCAAGAACTTGGCCGTATTTTGTGTAATAAAACCTAGTGTTGTCACTGATATTTAGTGCTTGACAACGCTTTCATTCGTAACACCTTTATAATCGAAGGATCTTAAACCTAGTCTCAGTACTGATGCTGTCATAACGGTGAAGATGCCACAGGTATTTAGAGTTTGGCAACGCCTTAACCAGTAACACCTGCTGTGAGTCGTACCCAACTAGTTAAATCAAAAGTCAGAAACGAGGACGTTCGAAGATATATTTGATAGGCTATCAATATATCAAGAACCGACTGATCTAGACTGGTTAGCGATTGCAGGAAATGTTGATCACGGTGTTCATACTCGTGATCTGGTGCGGATGTGTGATTGAGCGCCTTTAGCTATGTGAGTCCATTAAAACTAATGTGGTCAGCATCCAATGTCGAACATTTACAGAGCTATTTATTTTGGCGATTGCCTTAATACGTTTCATTGGGAAGATAGGGACTTCAAAAAAATCCACAGTGACAGAAGAACGAACGTTGTTGGGACAACTTCCCAACTATAGAATAATATGGGCTTGTGAGACAAGGCTAAAATAAACGAACTCACAACATTTGTATTTTAACCCTGCACCAGCTGGCCATCCAGTTGGAGTTTGGGAAGGATCGATACATTCTGTTTGAAGGATTCAGCTAGCTATTTCTAACGAACACGTCTTACACGACGGAATCTTAGTGGCCTTTTTGTGAGAACGAAAATAATATTGAATAACCTTATCTTCTTCCTTGCGACAACAAATAAAAAGGACAACCTAGCGTCCAAGCTCAAAATGCTACTGCAACTAGGAGGTTATGATGGGTTGGGGGTGTTATGCACTACTAAGTACGTGTATTCGAAAGAATGAAGACAGGTAAACTGCATAGCTAATGCCTTCTGGTGTCGGTATATGAAGAGATAAGTTCCGTCACTTCAAGTTAGGAGAGAATGGCATTGCAAACATATAAACTTGGGGGAAGGGGACTTTGTCCTGGCGGCTAATGGCCTTAATAATCACGGTTCATGACCAGTGGGACTAGTTGATAATTGCAAGATAGCCGAAGATGGTCGAGTAAGAACAATTATTGTACTCCGAAAGGAGGGGTCAAAAGAAGAGATGTGAGAGGGATTTGTTTTCTTGAGGATGGGGAATAACACCTTGTTTTAGGTTGTTTATGAGTGCATAGGCTTACTGATATGTATTCTGAACTTACAACGGAATTAGGCTAGATAGCTAAGGTGTATTCACGTGGGTGAAGAGATATGGGTGGCCGGTGTAACAGAAAGAATCCGCTGAAACCCCCACCGAAGTGTTTTATTGAGCAGTAATGTTATTTCTTGTCTTCTTCTCTCTTTACCATTTTAATTTTTTACTCAGTTTTTCTTGCAGCTACGTTTTACGTCCTTTAGTACTATATGTTTGAACTTATTCTGTTTTGCTGTGGTCAAAGATTTATACTTATTACCCTATTTTACTGGTACATGTCGCAGGGCCATTGGCAATGAGGCCGTGTTTGACTAAACTCAAGGTCACGGCGTGGCTCAGTTGACAATTTCCGACATTTGATTGCCAGCTGTAAAAAGCCAATTTAATTCCCGCATGTAGAAATTTGATTCCATCTAGTTAAGAATGTGTAACAACTCAGGTTGGTTGGTTAAGAGTTGACCCCAAACAACTAAGCATATGCTAAAACAGTATTGTTCAAGTATTCATTCACTTCCGTACTTTTTGTAAGCGTTATATTCCCTATTATCTTATATTGAATGTTGAGAGCCTTTGTTTGTCTGAACAGATAATCCCACGCTCCACTGTGACTGCGCGAAGATCGAAATAAAGACCTATTCACTACTTCTCTGGTTTCTTCTATCAATAGCGCGAGGGTTACCTATAGGCACGAAAGTGGTGAGCCCTTTTTGAACACAAATTTAACCTCATTTCTGTTATTAATTTTTTTTACTTAATCGTAAAAGTAGTAAACTAAGTTGAGTATATAACTAGTTTATTCTGTATTATCTCAAGTTATTCGTGTTATAGTAACCATTTCTCGTGCTAACTTTATTGCTATATTTGTCACATACCTCATGTCATACTCAATAGAAACCCATAATCTGGAGGATTTGTCACCAGTGGAGATAGACACTGTTATGACTACGAAATCCCGACTTCCAGAATTTGATCGTAGTGATCCTGAGTTGTGGTTTGCTCAACTAGAGCATTATTTCACGAGACACAATATCAAATCTGAAGGGATTCGCTATAGAGACTTGTGTTCTATCCTTCCTCCTTCAGTCTCCAAAGAAGTCCGTGACTTGATTTTAGATCCACCATCACCACAACCATACACCATCTTAAGACGAGAGATAATGAACCGTTTATAATTATCAGATAGTCAAAGAATCCAAAGACTTTTTCAAGGTGAAACACTAGGTGATCGGTCGCCGTCACAGTTTTTGCGTTACCTCCAAGTGTTAATGGGTGATAACACAGTGGGTGAAGCAGTCCTAAAACAAGGATGGATACAAGCTCTCCCATGCTACGTCCAACACTGTTTGGATGCACAAGATCCTGAAACCTCATTATCTCATCTATCGCGTATAGTCGATAGAATAATGGAGAGAGGTCCTCCAACTGGACCAGGCACAATCAATCACACACAAAAAGTAGAATCAGCAAAAGACCCCGTCATAGAAGGACTCATTGCGAGTGTTAAGAGTCTCACTGAGGCTGTCACCAGAATGCAAATGGGTCATAGAAACATGAGCAGGTCACCACAACGACCACGATCCAAGTCACAAATGTCCAGACAACCTGGGCAGTTTTGTTGGTACCACTGGTGTCAACTCAACCAAGTGCATGCAACCATGCGCCTGGCCTAAGCATAATTCTAAGACAGCGGGAAACGAGTAACCCCTCCCCAGTTCGCGACGACTGAGGAGGTGCGCCCAAACAGTCGCTTGTTTTATGTTAGAGACAGAAACTCTGGCTTGAATTTCTTGGTGGATACTGGCGCTGCCCTTAGCATCATCCCTCAAAATAAAACTGAGATTAGTCGAGAAACATCATCAATTACACTTCAAGCTGCAAGTAAAACTAAAATTGCGACATTTGTGCAGAAAATCTTAACCCTAGATTTGGGATTCAGGAGGCAATTCCCTTGGGTTTTCACAGTAGCCGACTTAGATCTGGCAATACTGGGGATGGACTTTCTAGAGAGATACGGATTTCTAGTTGATAGCAAGAAACGGCGATTAACACTAAAAGAAACTTCGTATTACACAAAAGGCAAAGAAAGTCACATCAGCTCTCTTAACTTGATTCAAACTCCTCCAGTAACAACAGCGAAATTCCAAGATATACTCGTGGAATTTCCAAACTTAACTAAACCAAATCCACAGCCTTCTAAAGGTAAACTAAAAGTAAGTCACACTATCAAAACCGAAGGCAGGGAATTTATAGTCTTTACGGATCACAAACCACCAACGAATGCACTAAAAGCGAGAGCTGATAAATACTCACCTCGAGAAGTCCGACACCTTGACTATATATCACAGTTCACAAGCGATATCCGACATGTCAAAGGTCAGGACAATCAGGCGGCAGATGCTTTATCTAGGCTAGAAATAAACGTGCTACAGCAGTCTACAGTAAACTTCGAGACGTTGAGAAACGAACAAGAGCAGGATCTAGAATTACAAAACCTGCTTAAAACAAACAATTTAAGTCTTAATTTAAAACAGTTCCCATCACCTGTCGATGGTATTCTAATCTACTGTGACACGACCAAGGCAATGCCGCGACCTTTCGTTCCCAAAAGTATGCGAAAGTTAATATATATAATAACTTTCATTCTTTGTCTCATCCTGGCGCAAAAGCTTCAACAAAACTTATCAATGCCAGATATATATGGCCGAATTTACAGAAGGATGTACACAAATGGGTCAGAGAGTGTTCAGCATGTCAACAATCGAAGATAAATCGTTACACAAATTCACCCATAGGTGTTTTCTCGCAACCAGATGCACGTTTTGCTCATGTGCATATCGACTTGGTAGGTCCTTTACCACGTTCAAACGGTTTTAATTATCTTTTTACATGCATAGATCGATTTACCAGACTCCCTATAGCCATCCCGATAGCGAACATCACAGCGGAAACAGTAGCCAAAGTTTTCATGCGGAATTGGGTAACCATTTTTGGTACACCCATAACAATAACGACGGATAGAGGAGCGCAATTCGAATCTGAGCTATTTAATAACTTGGCTAAACTTCTAGGCTCTAATAGGATACGCTGCACTGCTTATCATCCTC